GATTGTAGTCTCAGCATATTTGAGGAGCACCGGTTTGGGGAAAACCAAAACTGCCATTAATACTTATCAATCCTCTCCAACTGCTTAGGGAAGCACTTAGTAATAGCTGCAGAATGACAAATACTGCTCTTGAGCTAGGCTAAGAATTGGCTTTAAAAAGCTATGGGGAGCATTATTACAGAAGAGGTCCACCATGTGTGGATAATTCCTCTCTCTAATCCAGATCGTCGGGACTAGCTCTTCTGTCCAAGTATTTAAGATGCTAGTGTCTTGCCAAGAAGTGGGCTGTCAACCACAAGGAACCAAGGGAAGCAACCTGTTTGTAGATCCCAAAATCTAAATCAGAGTATCTACAAAGGAACAGCAGATGGACATAAATGAAACCACAAGGAGCAAAAGATCTTCTGATCTGAAAGGTAGAAGATAGAGACTGAGAGCGTTGAACAAAAGAGGGCCAAAGCTTCTAGCAGAGATGGTTGGTAATGGCATTAGGCTAAGGCAAGGAACAAGATGCAAAGTTGGGTTACAGAGCTCCTTCTACCTGACTTGCAACAGGATCGTCTGGAGATTGGGTAGGTATTGTTTCATAAGGAGAGAGGCCTGAGTCAAGGCAAGTCAGAAACTGAATCATAACTTAGGCTCCTGATGCTAGGAATCTTTAAGACCTAAATGTAAGGATCTGATATAGCAAGGAGAAAGTTAGGTTCTTGTTATCCTGCATCTCCGTGTCCGGGATTTTTTTTCTCTCTCTCTCATACGGAACAGCTTTTCATTATGTGAGCTCCCCCTTCCTGCAAGAATAATGTGGTGCAGCCCAAACATGGCTTTTTAGATCAACTTCAGCTTGATGTGTTCTACGTGGGTTGGATTGCAACTCGTATTGTCCCATTATGCTGGCAACTGATGAGAATTATAGCACAAAGGATGCTTCCTTTAAATGTAACTATTCAAATAATGCTGTGTCCATCTTAAAGAGGGGGCATTTCAAAAAAAAAAAAGCTGCCCGCTCTTTAAGATAAGGAGGGAGTATTCTTGAACAGCATTTTTTATGCCTCACTTTTCACGCCTCTCTTTGGATCTCCCACATTACCAAAACTGAGTTGTTGACCTCTTGAAAATCAGCGACAGGATTTTCTGCCATTTATTTATTTGACACATAAATAAATATGGCCATTTACGCCTTTATCTTAAAACATATTTAAAGCTTCCAGAATATGCCTGTAAAGCCGAAATATACCCAGACATCTAGGTTTCACCCCGTTGTGTGATGTTGTTATGTACTTGGTGTCATCTGCCACACCATTACCCAGCACAGCTTCTGGTCTGCAAAGGGCAGCTTGTCCAGTCACATAGTATAGAGGTGCCTCAGATGTACTGTGATGTTTGCATGCTTCAGCTATGCTTCGATGATCACCAGGCTGCTGCAACTTTAGTGACAACCCTCTGGAATAACTCTGCTGTAGATAATGTATTGCCGGGTGAAATTCTGTACAAGATTTTGGGGGCAAAGATCTTTCGGAAATAAACCCTGTCAGAAGTTCTTTCTGGTCTGCATTTGTTTAAAATATTTACTGCGTGGCACTAAGCCTGGAGAGGGGTATCTTTCTCTGCTAAGGTCACTGGCCAGAGAAATATTAAATCTGGGCTTGAAGGGATATTGGGAAGGGTCAGAATCCAAAGTGGTGGAGCGTCAGCATTTGCTACTTTCTCTCTCGTCATCTCCTGAGCCCCGTCAGTTTGAATTTCAAATAGAGCTGAAGGCGTAACCCTGATCTAAACTGAGAGCCGGACAGGTGGTGCATTCTGCCAAATCCTTAACCACCTCAGGTTGTGAACTGTGATGCCAAGAAAATGAGAGCTGGAATTTCCATGAACGTGACCACGATAACGCTGCAAGAAACAAATGCAACAGTGGCAGACATTTATTCAAAAGTTACCTTCCTGAGCATTGGAAAAACTGCCTTTAATTCATCTAAAGCCAAATGTTCGTTCGTTTAAATAAAAGGAAATAAGGTAGATATATTGACATGGAACTCCAAGATCACCTCATGCAGTTAAAACAACAAAATTAAATACCTGGAAATTATAGTATCCTCAGAGGGTTTGGGGTATGCTTTAAGAAAAACAACAACTGGAGTTTATTGAGTACTACTGAGAGTGTTGGAGGTGAGGGCCACCCAAATAGCTTCTTTGCATTATCTAAATCAGAGTTCCTCAACTTGTCTTTCCGGTGTTTTGAACAGCACTTTCCATCACCCCTAACTTGCTCCTCAGTCCTACATACCGTGATCTTTTAGTTCACTACTGTATTTCAATAGTTCAGACAGTGCCAAGGGTGAAACCTTGCTCACTTTTACTTTCTGCTATTCTTCTTTCGCTAATTGAAATCTCCTTAAATTCAAAATTAAATTTGGAAAATTGGAAGCTCTGGCTATGAACATCCTAGAAGTGGAACTAAACCATTCAGAATGAACATTCAGTCCAAAGGATGATTCTACCTGAAGATCTCTTGGCATGTATCATCATCACCTGACTGGACAAAATTGCACCTAAACTATATGTTTGGGCTGACATAGCTTCTGTTCTAAGCAATGGCTAATGTTGAACTTGCTATTTTGTCCACAGGCTGACTCAAGATATCAGCTGTCTGCAAAATGGTGCTCCCCTCCCCCCCCCCGCCTTTTCCATGTAGAGAAATGTGCTGGGTTTCCCTTAAATAGGAAATGTTATCCTCTGTTGTCCTGAACCAGACAGACTAGGTTACGTGGTGTGCCTACAGATCTGTCCATCACGAAATGTTGCATGTCAAAAAGGGACGGAGTCTCAGTTGTATGGCCATGGCCACCATCTTGATTTTTTTACACCCCTGTCCACCAGGGGGTGCCTCATGGCAGGGGAAGCCCTGTTTATCTATGTCAGCAGCTATGTTCGTTTTTAGTTGTTCTTACCACAATTTTATTTTAAAAAGCATTTAAAAATTCAGCTACCTAAACAGATTTGAAATGCATTAGGGTACACAGTTAAGTCATATTGGGACTTTCCTAAAACACAAACAATTTTTGGAAGACAGTTCTGATGCCAATGTACTTGCAAGGAACAGGAATGTATGAGACACTATTTATTTATGTATTAAATTTGTACGCCGCCCATCTCCCCCAGTGAGTGACTCTGGGCAGCTGCTGTACGGCCA